TAGCTATCTTGCTGTCCAAACTGCACCCGTGTTGGGACTGCAGGTGCAAGCAGCCAGTTTAGCTTTTACATGGGTTCTGGGGACTGAGCTCGGGTCCTCAAGTGTGGCAAATGTCCTTACCCAGATAGCCATCTCTCCAGTCCTGGTTTAATCACCGTCATTCTAATTCCTGTTCCTATCCCTGAACTAAATGCCCTGGCCGGATAGCCTGGGCTGTCAATCCTGCTGTCATTTTGAGCTGGGTCTCCGCATGGTGTGGAAAGAGCATGAGAGACACCGGGGAGACAAACCCTGGCATCCCCTATGGCAGCCTTCAGACAGTTATTTGACTGGAGCCAGACAGTGATGAGGAAGAAGAATAAGGAATGCAAAGGAGAGAACGTCTGTAACTAGAAAATTTTGCACAGATACAGAAGTATAATATTATAAGAAATTCAAGATTTACAGAAGTCTTAAGAGATTGTGGGGCTCCGGAGAGAAGAATGAGAGACTGGAAAAAGGAAGAGCGTGGCCAGCTGATGAAGAGTCAAGTTTGAGAGTGCTGAGACTTCATCCCCCAGAATTAGATGACAAATACCACTTCCCACAGAGGCGTCACCCTCCCTGGCATAAAGCGTAGAAGGCAGGGAAACAGCTAGGAGGCTGTCTAGGGTGAGCGGTGGGAAACAAGGAGATACTTTGGGAAGGCAATTAAGGAGGCCGGTGACTCTGAGTGCTGACGAGGTGCTCAACTTGGCTCTTCTCACGCGTGCTTTCACTGAATACTTATGACCCCTTGAGAAAAGTTCTTTCTCTTTCAGCAATGAGGAAACAAGTAGAGGAAGGTTCCATAGCTCACCCTGTCACATGGTCAATAAGGAACTGAGCCAGAGAGTTTGCCCTGCTAATCTTAACCATGATGCTGAGCACTAGATGGTGCTGCAGAAGATATTTCCAACCAGTCAAAGTTTGAGCAGCATGCTGCTTCCATAAAACAGCATCACCATTATTTTCTTTTTCCAGGCAGTGAGCCCCCTTGCTGGAAAATTCTGGAAAAAAAATTGTACGTTTTAAATTGCTCACAGTTTAAAAAGCAGGATGAATCTTGTGCTGTTTCGCTCTATCCCCTGGAAGGAGACTTAGATCTTTATCCAATGTATCCACACTCAGCATACCCCATGCCCATCGGTCACCCAATAGCCATTTAGGCCATCACGGGCTGCCGCCGTATTAAACCTGTATCACTTCATCTTTTCACGTAGGCATCTGTCAACTCACATCATGACAGGAAGAGTGAGTGCAAGGCAATAAAATGGTGTGAGACACAGAGAGACTATTCTCATTCACCGCGCTTTATGATAGTGTGCTGTCATAATTGTTCTGTTTCTGATTACTTAGTGTTTAGATCTATTTATTAAATTTTATGCATGTAAATGTTTTGCCTGCTTCATGTATGGGTACCGTGTGTGTGTGTGTGTGTGTGTGTGTGTGTGTGTGTGTGTGTGGTGTCTCCAGGAGTCAGAAGGCATCGTACCCCCCTGGAACTGGAGCTAGAGATGGCTGAGAGGCACCGTGTAGGGCTTGGAATGGTACCCAAGTCCTCTCTGAAAGAGCAGCAAGTGCTCTAAACTGCTGAGCCATCTCTCTAGCTCCATGTCTCAAGGCATCTTTTAAAAGGAAAAGGAGAGCCAAGCAGCAACATGCATTGCTCTCTTCTTCTTGACTGCAATGTGGCCAGCTGCCACCATGACTTCCCACCTTCCAACTCTGAGCCCGAATAAACCCTTCCCTAAGTTGTTTCTGTGAAATATTTGCTACAGCAACAAGACAACTGACTAATACAGATGTATAGGGACACACGCACACACATACACACACACAGAGTTTGGTACTACCTGTGATTGTGATTTCAGCATCCAGCCTGGGCTCCTCTTGAGAGCAGGCCTTTACATCCCCATTCCATGTGCTGTCAAGGAAGCTATTTCTTCTCAATATGGCCTAGGCACCTTGGGTTTATATCTGCCTTTGTGTCTATGCAACTCAACAACAAATGGTCACAGCTCAATTAACACCAGACTCCACCCTTACTGGCTCCTTATAAGTTGGTGTCTACTCATCTTCTAAGCACTGGTTTAGAGATTGTTTTCCTTTATGGCTTCATCTGCTAATCTGTCTCTGTCTCTCTCTTTCTTTTTTCCATTCCCAGTCTTACCCTCAGACCCTTAAAGGTCATGTTTGTTCCTCTGTGGTATCATCACTCGAGTTGGCCTCTGAAATTACACTCATATTTTACTTCAGTCCCACGGAATGCTGTCTGTTACTAGAAATCTAGTCTTCTGGGCTTCAGAAAAGATTTGACCCAACAAGCCTTCATCTCTCATGCATCAGGTGATTGGCTAATCTGATCTTACTTCAGCATTATCTTGGTTTCAGCTGTACCCGCTCCTGACCTTTGCTCTCACCCCCATTAAGTCTCAGTTAGCTCATTACCTCTATCGCTTCGTTTCCTAATGGAGCCGACATTTAGTCTTATGGAATTTACTCTGTGTGAGACCCCTGAGGAAACTGTCACTCAAGCCCCAGCTCCTTCTTTACTTTCCTGTTTAGGAACCACTGATGGCCCTCAGTCCTGATGAACCTAGTTGGTCAGCCAGTTCTGAGCCTTCTCTATCTACATGTGAAGATCCTGTACCACCAAGCTCCACCCATTGGAACAGCCTTTGGCTGTTCTCTCAATATGAACTCTCCACTGAGCTCCACTGCCTCAGCCTTGTCTTCCCTTCCTCCAATATGCTCTGTGTGTACTTGCAGGCACACCAGATCCGAGTCCCGCACATGGCTGAGTCTGTCCCCTGAGCCTAAAATGCTGCCCCCTCCCTTTCCACAGACATGTGCCTCAAATGACTCCCTGATGGCTGTCAAACAAAAGTTTTCTTGTCTTCCTCCAAATTCTTTTGTTCATTGCCACTTCTAAAAAAGTACAGTCAATATATTATGCTATCTAAATGCAACAGTTTATTATGGGACTAAAGAAAGCTGTTCTCTCTGTCAGGATTATGTGCTAAATCAACAGAATAGCGCAACTTTACTGCTCAGTAAAATTTTTAAATTTGTATTTCCTCTTTTTTCATCATCAGAGATGATATTCAGTATGTTGTTGGTAATGATGGGAACTACAAACATATTGTTATACCGTTTATCTCCTTGTTAGTTTAGTGGTCTAACTAATTAATTTTAAATATAGTGACTATTATTTTAAGGGACTGTTTCCTCTATATAATTGGAAATGCAAACTTTTAAGATATTCTGCTTTGTGTATTCAATCTAACCACCGCTATGCCTTTTAGGGTAATATTTTTAATTATTCTGAGAAAAAGAAAAGCAATCCCCAAAGGGCTAACAGTTTGAAACTGAACAGGACACTCCTACAAAGGGAGAGGGTCATAGGTCATCCTCAAACAGACAAAAGACAATGGAGACGATTGTGCCTAGAGATGGTAATTTTTTTTTCATGAGACAGTGTGTTGACAGTTTCCTTCCTCTTGGGTCATTGTCGTCTGTTAAATGACCTGTGACGGCAAATTGATCTCAAGATTTTCATGCAAGAGATACAAGGCAGCCTTTCATTTTGCTGCCCTCTCTGCAAAACGCTGAAACATTTCGGGGGGCAAATTCGTGTTACCTTAGCATATTGTTCAGCCGCGTGAAGCTTGGCAGGCTGTGCTGGAAGCAATATGAGCAATAGTTAATTTCTCTTCACCCATTTCAGACGTCTACTTATGTATGATTGGAAAAGTAATAACACATTTGAAAAATGTTAGTTTTAAAATTAGGTGTCATAAACTGCTAACTAAATGGATGCACTGATCCATTTAAATATTGCCCCATTAATTTCAGAATTGAGTCAAATACTTACCTTTAGGAACTTACAGTTGACCCCTAAAAATTAATACTAATATTTTTTGACTGAAAATGTTTCTCCTTCCAAAGAATTGAAAAATTAAATAGAAGATCAGATATTAGGGATATTACACCTGATGTTTAAGCATCTACTTGCACTGGTTAGCTGGTAACTTCACATGGCTGAATGTTATCTCAAAGTAATGTCTTATTTACAGAGCTATAAACTGCTGTGCTCAACAAGTTCATAGTAAAAATGCATGCAGATGCAGTGGCTTAGGAAGTGGTCTTCAGTTGCCACTTATTGCGTTACTAGAAGCTTCTCTCTCCTGTAAGGGCATAAGGACACCAATAGAGAAATGTTCCGGTGGGGGATGAGGAAAGAGGGGGCTTCCATGTGGCTAGGATTCTGTGTAAAAGTCAATTTACATTCTGATGCCTTTATTCTCCCTATGAAGAAGAAATGAAAACCATCATACTAAATGGCATTGGTATGACGTTTAAGAAAACTTACTGTAGATTGAAGAAAATGACAAATATAATGCTTCCCTTAAGGATCCTTTGAGATACTGGCATTAGTCTTTTTACAGTGCATCTAAACATGTGCATAGGTGGGCATTTCTATTCATTACTGAAAAATTAGACAGTTTGTCTTTTCTGTGATTTTACTTGTCAGGGGCGAATGTGTTTTATTCATCTATTCAATGGGTAATTCTTAGAGAGGTATGTCCAAAGCCCGACCTGATGGCACACGCCTGTAATCCCAGCACACAGGAGAATGAAGCAGGAAGATTGTGAGTTCAGGGCAGTCTGGGGTACATAGAGGGCAAGACTTGCCAGGGACACACATACCTGGTCTCAAAAGAATGAATGAAAGAAAGAAAGAAAGAAAGAAAGAAAGAAAGAAAGAAAGAAAGAAAGAGGGAGGGAGGGAAGGAAGGAAGGAAGGAAGGAAGGAAGGAAGGAAGGAAGGAAGGAAGGAAGGAAGGGGAAAGGAAGGGAAGGGGAAGAGAGTATCATAATTTTCAAATCAGCCTCGTTTGATATGATTGTTAGCTGAATGATATGCTCTGATAGTTTTAAAAACAACCTTACAAATTATATTTTGTTTGTATTTTCAGAGTAATTAAGAAAATCTCATTTAATGATTACTACAAGACATGGTCTACGATAGCCACATCACAAACAGCAGAACACTCCAGAAATCCATGTAAGCAGATCTAACCTTCTTCTGTGCCCTTCTAATATCCATTAACCTGTGGATCGTTCTGATTGTCTTACTTTTAAAGACTAGTTGACACGTCTCGGCTGTGCAAGAGCGATAAGCTGTTGGCTGGCTCTCTGTGCTACACTAGTCACTCAACAACCGCCAATTTAGTGCCTCATTTGTGCAGAGCCCTGACCTGAGTCCCCTTAAAAGCCAGAAGAAGAGTAGGCAATTGATGGAGTTCTTAATCTTTTGAGGTTTACTTACCTGCCTTCGCCCAAGAAAGGAGAGTTCACAGCAGGGTGAACCTTTCCATTTCAAAGACCGTTATGCCCGAAGTCAGAGCCGGCACAGAGAGCAAATGCAGGCAGAAGAGAGAGCCCTGGGAGGGCAGTTCCGTTACGTCCCTGTAAAGGAAGCATTGCCCGGGGACCACAAAGACAGAATGTGAGAGCCAGACAACTGGTTCCATTTAAGCGGACTTTTAGACTATATGTCTTTATTTTCCTCCAAGTAGGCTATCCAGGCCCCACACGTCAGTGAAAATGTGGCTTTGCCCCGGCCATCCTGTCAAAGTGGCACGGGCCTCGTGAAGCTAGAAGGGCCCAGAGTCTGCAATGGCGTTCTGAAGCGCTTGTCTCTCCTAGCTGTTGCTGCCTGCGCTCTCATTCATGTGCACGCTGCCCTGCGTCCGCAAGTTTTATTCTTTTTGCCTAGGTATTCTGCCTCTTTCCCGGGGGATGACCTCGTCCCTACCCTTCTCCCCATCGCCCTGAAAAGCCTCTTTCGCTGCCTTCCTTTTCGTCAGTCAGTGATGCCCAAACCACACCTGTAGCTAGACCCTCTTCTGCACCCACGGGCACATGTGCAGCCAGGCCCCGAGCCCCCTCACCTACACATGCCTACACATGGTACAGGCATGCCATTCAGATATCCTGAGCCCAGTTCTCCCTGGAGCTCCCAAACCTGTCCCTCCTTCCTTCTCTGTCTTAGGTACTGGAAGCTCATTATTTTTTTTTAATTTTTTTCTGCCTAATAATCCTTAGAACAACCTTATGCCTTTTAAATTTTCTTTTGTATTGTTGATTTATCTCTTGTAACAATATAATGCTTCTACTCACCTCTGTCCCCGTGGTCACTGCTTTAATTTTGAGTCTCATTGGGCATCATCTCATTGCAGTTGTTTCCTAACTATAGCAAAAAAAAAAAAAAAAAAAAAAAAAAAAAGTTGTATTTATCTTTCAGACATAAGATAAGGCAAAGGTACTATTCATTAAGCCTAACAAATATAAAACCAAGTAAGCTCGATAATGTTTATGAAATCCCATGCTCTCTCAGGAAGCTGGTTATTGATTATTTTCTGATTATGTATTATCATCCCCACTCACACATGAGTGGTTGAAAAAAATCATTTGAAGAGTATTATGATACACAGATTTTAGCAACACTGTTAGTTCAAAGAATTTTATTGCTGATATCAGAGTTCACGGTGTTTAATTTCAAAGTTTGGTGGCCAGATGCACCTTAGGTAGCTGGTGCCATAAATGGAGTATAGAGAGACACAGATGAATTGGGGGACAATAAACATTTATTGTGAAAACATGATGTTGAAAGATATTGATTCCAGGGACCAGGGACTAAGGGGCAAATTCCTGCAAAACCCAACCACCCAAAAAAAGGTTTCTGTCCTCCCCCCCCCCCCCGACAGTAATATGTAAATGCATGGGGGGAGGAGCGGCTCAGAAACTTAACTCCTAGGCAAAAGATACAATAATGTGCCAAAATTTGAGAGAGTTTGGAAACAATTGCCTCTTAATAAAAGGCGATTTTAAAATGGAAGAAAATCATGGTGATTTCCTGATAGCGGTTCCTCCCTCAAAGGCGTTTGACTCCAGCGTTTTGGGTTTTGTTGTCTCTACATAGGTCTGTCACTAACCCAGTCTGTAACTCATCGTCTGCGAAAGCAAGGTCCTGGGCCTAGTTCTCCGGAGCCCAGAAGTATTCCTAGGACTTCGAGTCTAACACTGGATGGCAGATTTCACAACCCCACTGCCCCTCCTTCCCCTGGAATCACTCTCAAAATGTTCCAAGAGCCTGCCTTCAAAAATAGCCAGCACCTAATTTTCAAAAGCAAATGCGAGCCTGACAGAATCTGCCGGCCTTGTTGCCTTTTGATAGTTCAGCTGGATGGGTGCCAACACCGGCTTTTCTAATGGCCTAATTTCCTCGCAGTAATGAAGATAAAGTTTTAGGTTGTGGACTGCTCCTCCAACGACTTAGAAGCGCAAAGGAAACCTCCCAACTTCAGTTACACGTCCATATTCTTGTCACTGCTGAGGCTATGAATGGCCCGTGCGTGTTTTAAGAGATTTGTATTTTATGAGTAGGAGGTAGTTGTATTTTGATTTGCCTATTAACACTTTTTCATATTTTTGAGCCACAAAGCTATGTCTAGATTTTAATGCCATAACCGTCAGGAGTGTATTCTTTCACAATACAGTCTGTAGAGCGTGTCTGTATATGCTATGCTTCTAACCACGCTCCTTCATCATCCCTCTATTCAATATTTATTTTATTTATTTACAGAACACTATAATATATGTAACAAATAGTCATACATCTATCTGCCCGAGGGACTAGACATGATTCTAACCCTTTGTTCTTCAGATGAGAAAACAAGACTAGGAGAAACCAGGTAATTTAGCTAGGGTCATCCACATGCGAGAAAATATCACATATTTGTCAGTCTGCTGCTGTCCTTGGCCCAGCTGCCTTGTTTGTAAAAATGGGAGCAGTCACAACACAATGACGTCATAGGGTGGAAGAGCTTAGAGCACAGCAGTCAGCACACATGCCCGTCCTCACTTAGTAGCACTGTGATCCAAGACTTGGATTAGACCTCTGGCTCTGCGTTTCCTTCCTATGATATATTCTGCCTTTATAGCATGACAATGTGTTATCCCAGCAGAGTGTGAGATTTACATTCAAATGCTGAAGGCTAAGCAGAGTTTCTGAAATGCACGTCATTTCCATTCACAGTCATAGGAAATCCTACAGAGAAATGTACCAGCGACCCCGCTGTTCTCTGCCCATCACTATAAAATGTCAAATCAGGGGTTTGGCAGAGAGAAAAGCCATGCATATGGTTGTAGGAACAGCTCTTTAATGACAGAATACGATCCCCATACGGAAATGCTTACGTTCCAGGAAAAGAATTCCAGAGAGCGCCACGCTGTGCGGCGCTGAGTGGAGGCTCCCTGGTGCTTGTTTGCTGTCAGCGGGCGAACCAAACAGCCTCCGGCATCAAGGGGGGTGCTTGCTTTCACCCCAGGAGACTCTCAGTCTTTGAGGCTTCCCAAGGCCCTTTCCTTCCTTGCGAGAAGCAGCGTGCCTGCTTCCAGAGCCCGGCCGCACAGCCTCAGCTGCTCATTAGAGCCACCTGCGGAGCCTGTAAAAATTCCAACATAAAGAGCACACCCAGACCAGTTCCACCGGGGCTGGCAGGAGGACCGAGTAGTGGGAGTTTTGAAAGCTCCCTGGGCGACCATAACACACAGCCACAGGTGGGGACAGCATGACGTCAGAAGTCAGCAACTCCTTAGCCCGATGCTAGTTTTGCAACATATGGGTAAGAAAATTCAAAGGAATGGCTTGCCTAGTTGAACGCCATCTTTCATTCCTGTTAACGAGCAAAGAACATTCGCCCCGCTCTTAGGTGCTCTGGGGTTGTGTGAGATAATATGTCTGTAAAGGAAACACACTAATGCAAGCCGGTGCCATGTTTTCCGGATGTGGAGTTCCTCCAGAGAAGATGAGCGACTTCCAAGTCACCTTCTGCTTCTGCAGGAAAAGCAGCACATCATTGCCAGTGGCAAAAGAACAACTGGGCACACAACAACCTGAATTCTCCTAGGATTTTAGAGACCTCAACTCAGACCAAGCCAGGATTCTTGGCTTCAATGCAAAAGATGAGGCAAAGTTGGAAAAAAAAAAAAGTTAAAAAATATTTTGGTATAGATTTAAGCATGAAAGTCAAGAGACAGGCACTCAGAAGGAAAGATACACCCAAGGGGATTATATGTTTCTCTAGAGAAAGTAGGGAAAATAAGGCCTGGGCTTCTCACAGCAGAATGGCAATTGTCTCACTGTTATCTATCCATAGGGACCATCTTGGTGACTCTCCTTATCTTTCCAAGGGTGGCTCTGAGATTCCTGTCCTCTTTTGTTCTCATTTGGTAAACGAGATTATAGAGTGGTTCTGGAGGTGCCTTGGATGAAATTATAATCTGATAAGAAGAAACCAGAAGCCTCTAGGGTTGCACAAGGACTTTAGTGTTATTCTTAAAAAACGATGAGAGAGAGGCTACAAACGGTCCCCGGGTGGGCTGGCGGAGGGAGCCCGCCATGAGGGCGGCTATAGGAGGGCACGCATCCTTGGCCCACGTGGCGGCAGGTAACAGACACGTAAACACAGGAAATAGCCATAAGTATTTATTAAGGAAGGGGGAGAAAGAGAGACAGAGAAAAGAGATAAAAGGAGAGAGAGACAGAGAAAACGCGTGCGCATGCTAAGGAAGCAGAAAGAGAGAGGGGGGGTCCCAAGATGGCGATGGGCGGGTCAGAGGTTATGGGAGTGGGCGTGGCTAGGGCAGGGACCCAAGAATAACATTCCCACATCTTGCTTTTGATAAAAGCAAATTAGACACTTCAGTTTGAAGGAATTGGGGCGGCGAATTCTCAAGACTGCTTCCGGCTGATTGTGGGCGTCGTCTTGGGGGG